CCCTGAGCGCGCCGCCGCACAGGTAGGCGCCTTCTCCGGCCGCGTCCGAGCCACGCGGCTGGTTCCTCCCGGGGCATCCCGGCCGCACCCCACCCCCGGCCCCAGAGCTCTCGGGCCCGCGGAGGAGCCGGATTCGGGCAGCCCAGGGGCGATTCTGCGGCGCAGGAAACCCGGGGGCTCTCGGGGGAGGAAGTTCATTGCCACCTCCTTGCCTGCTCTTTGGACCAAAGCGAAACCTTTTAGTTCTTAAGAACCGAGGAGCTCGGAGAGCCTCCCTCCTTCTGCCCTCCCCACTCCTGCTCTAAGGTCCTCGCATCTCCCTCCTTCCCCTCCCGCCAAATATCTCTATGGCTACTGTGTTTGTAAGGCGACCAGATTGGGGGATGGTCGGTTGGAGTAATCCCATGCCACCCTTTAAAAGTTCAGGGTACTTCGCAGTAGTAACTTTGGCAGCTGCCCCAGTGCGCTCGACATTTCTTTCTTTGGGCACATCCTGTACCCGTCATTTCGAAACCCTGCTTAATTGTTTCTTGCAGTTTCCTGATTGGTCTGTAATTATGGGACCCCCTTCAAACTTCGGGACACGTTGTTTTTACTTTAAAAAAAAAGAGGAGTCGTTTTCTTTGGAATCCACCTAGAGGCGGCTTTCCCCGTTGTAAGTTCATTGATGATAGCTTATTCTCTGCAAGTCGCTTAGAAAGGGAAAAGAAAAATTGAAAGTGATAACTGTTCCACTAAACAGTTTTTAGAGTGCCCTACATTAATGGACAGGTATTCACTTCACATAGATCTCATTCCTCCTTTTGGATCATTTAATTGATTAATATAATCAGAAAGAGCATTTTAAAATGACCTGGTTTATACCGGTCACACCCAAGCAACTCAGCTACCTTTACAAGCCCAAACTTCTAAACTTTTTGCACTGGACGTAAGCTGAGCTGCAGCGGCCTTGATGAAAAGCCCCTTTTTAGGAAAGCAGAAATTCATTCTCTTCCCCAGATTCCAGATGGGGTGGGTTGGAGTTGGAGAATGGCCACCTGTGGGTGCTGTTGTGTGTTGAGAGCCTGCTCTGGGTGGGAGGGGTTGGGTGGAAGAATGAATGGCGCTGTCTCAGGAGGCTGGGAATCCTCCTTACAGAACTCTTGATGCTTCTGAACAATTCCTGCTCTCTTTCTCCCTTGGGTTAGGGAGCCCTGGAGCAGGTGGGTCCTGGAGTTGAGCTGGCTTCTCTTGTGGGGGAGGAGCTCCTCCCTGGGAACCTTGAAGACATTCGGGAATAAGGACATTGTATGAAAAAGTTTGTCAACAGAAAAGGGTTGACAACTATTGTTAACAGGTGTTTTGCATCTGTTGGGAATGGAATGCCATCACAGTCTCAAATCTATTTTTTTTCTAATCAAGTTATAGGGAAATAAGACTCTCAAAAGTGCTTTCTCACAAGATTTATCTATAAGTAACTGACAAAACGAGCTACTGGATAGTGAGCATAGCTGTGAGTTAAAGGATGAAAGGTTGAGGGGGCATTTTCTTTTTTTAAAAAAAGTTTTTTTATTGATTTTTTTTTTGTGTGCCCTGACTGGGAATTGAACTGGCAACCCTTCTGTGCACCATATGACACCCAGCCAATCAGGTGATAATGAAAATAAATGCCTTTATGTGGATTTGTCTAGCTGTTTGCGAACCAGTAAAATAGGAGGAAAATTCATTGATTTTATAAATTATTAATTAAAAAAGTAAAGTTTTGCAAGTAGGACTGTGACATAGTCGACCATTATCTTTCCCACAGAGCACTCTGGGGATTTCCCCTTTCACTATGATAACGTTTCTGGTTGGGTGCCGTCAGGCCAGTGCTGCCCTTTATCCCATTATGACCTGTTTGTCACAGTGCCAGGGGAGGAGGAGAAAGAAGGGCAACTCTGAAGAAACATAGCTTGCCCCTTCTCCCTTGTTACCCAGCTATTGACAATCTCGGTCTCCTAATTCCCTAGAAAACAGCCTTTGCCTGGCCAGCGGAGCTCAGTGATTGAGCTTTGACTAATGAACCAGGAGGTCAGGGTACATGCCTGGGTTGCGGGCTTGATCCCCAGTGGAGGGCGGGGGTGCAAGAGGCAGCCGATCAATGATTGTCTTTCATCATTGATGTCCCCCCTCCCCCGCCACCTCTCTCTTTCTTCCTCTCTGAAATCAATAAAAGGATGTATTAAAAACAAAACAAAAAACAGCCTTTATCAGAAGGGCTGCAGTGGCAATCAGATGTACCCCCAAGGGGAGCCAGGTACGGGAGTCAGTTCCTTTCATGCCAGATCCTCTTGGATGTACCGCTGGGAAACAGCCAGGAGTGCTGTCCTAAGCAGCATGGAGCTTCCCTAGTTCCCATTCACACCTGCATCTCCAGTCATTATGGTGCCTGGAGTAGGGCTGCATGCTTGAGAGGGTTTTGTTTTTGAATATGTTTTAATTTTATGTCACAAAATGACAACTCCCTCAAACAGATTTTACTCCCTTCATAGCATTTCTCTGAAGGTCCCTAGTTTCCACTCCTCAGATTCCTCAGACCACCTAACATGTGTATCAGCCCACTGGAGGGCTTCTGTCTGTTGTGTGTGGGTGCCTTGGCATAATTTGCTTTGCCCTTTTCCTTACCTTCTCAAGTGTAATGGCTGTGTGAGTTCCAGAATGTGATATGTTTCTCAGGCCTTCTCTTTTCTTGATTATTAAAAGCTGGAGAAGCAGAATTTGTTCATTAAAAATGACCGTGAGTGCACTGAGCAGAGTGTTGGTGATGGCAAAGGGTTACCTTACAATTGCCTTTGCTGACTTTTATCTTCATTTCTTCCTTCCCAGCTCCACGCACAGATAAAAATATTTTAAAACCAGATTCTTCACAAAAGACAGGAACGTTTCCATTTTCAAGGTTTTTGACATTTTCAAGCCAAGATTTCCATTGGATGGATTCTTAGATTTAAGGGCAGTGTGTCCGTTTTCAGGTTTCAAATGTTCAGCAAAAGATTAGTCATATTTGGGCCACGCAAAGCAGTCTCCGCACGGAGGCCTCAGTGAAGCTGTGCAGAATGCAGGGAGCGTGCTCAGCACCAGCCAACAGGCAGGCATTTAGGCTTGAGTGCACCTGTTTCCTTGTGAAACCAGCAGCTCTTTTTCTCTTAAAAAAAGAATATACATATCTGCCAATACATTATGTATGATCAGTGATCCTACACTGCCAAAATAGGTAAGCACTATGGGTTCATCGTCAAACTTAATTCATCTATGTGACATTCTTAGAACAGTGCCTGGTACATGGTAATACTCAAATATTACTGATTGCTATTATTTAATTGTTTATTTTATACCAGAGGCCTGGTGCACAAAAATTTGTGCACTCAGGGGGTCCCTCAGCTCAGCCTGTGCTCTCTCGCAGTCTGGGACCCCTCAGGGGATGTCCACCTGCTGGCTTAGCCCCCCTCCCCGGGTGATCGGGCCTAAGCTGGCAGTCAGAAATCCCTCTGGCAGCCTGAGAGCCTTTGGGGGATGTCCACTTGCCAGGGGGGAGCAGGCCTAAGCTGCAGTTGGACATCCTTAGCGCTGCTGAGGCAGCGGGAGAGGCTCCTGCCACCACCGCTGTGCTAGCAGCCATCAGCCTGGCTTGTGGCTGAGCAGAGCTCCCCCTGTGGGAACACACTGACCACCAGGGGGCAGCTCCTGCATTGAGTGTCTGCCCCCTGGTGGTCAGTGTGTGTCATAGTGACTAGTCATTCCCAGTTGTTCTGCTGTTAGGGTCAATTTGCTTATTACCCTTTTATTATATAGGATTTTAGAGTATAACTTTGACATTAGATTTAGATTACTGAGGTCAAGAAAGATTTGGGTAGAAAAAAAACCCAGCTAATCCAGTAGAAAGAGGAATTTTAGAGTTATTCCCATCTAGAGATATTCTTATATCTCAAAGAATAGAAATTTGGGCATAAGACAGGTCTGGATTCAAATCCTGCCCTCACCATTTACTAGTACAAGCCAGGGGACCCTTAGGTAAAATGGGGGTGATAAAACATGCTTCTCAGAGTTGTAAGACTACATATAGTATATGTAATATCCAAAAAGAGGCAATTAATCAATCTAGCAAAGTAGTTAAGCCCAAGTACAAACTCTGCCGAAGGCCCTGGGTTCAAAACCTGGTTGGCCACTTGCTACTAGTATGACTATGAGCAAGTGACTTCAGTTCTCTGTGCAGCAATTTCCTTCTCATTTTTCTTCTTTAAATTGGAGCTGATAATGATACTATTTCATAGTAGTCCTTATTCCAATGTGGTAATAATAATCTTTATTGTCCAAGGTGGTTGTGAAAGCTAAATTGGATAATAGACACAAAAGTGCTATTATGTGTTAACAATTATTACCAATAGAGGAATGGATAAAGATGTGCTACATATATACAATGGACTATTACTCAGCCATTAAAGATGAAATCTAGCCAGTTGTGACAACATGGGTGGACCTAGAGGGTATTATGCTAAGTGAAATATAGACAAAGACAAATACTATATGATTTCACTTATATGTGGAATCTAAAAATGAACAAACAAAACAGAAACAAACTCATAAATACGGAGAACATTTTTAAAATATATTTTTATTGATTTCAGAGAGGAAGGGAAAGGGAGAGAGAGATAGAACATCAATGATGAGAGAGAATCATTGATCGTCTGCCTTCTGCATGCCTCCTACTGGGGATCAAGCCCGAAACCCGAGTATGTGCCCTTGACTGTGGGGAAGTATGGGACTTCGTTGGAAAGTCTGTAAGGAGAATTTTCTAAAGGTTGGAGGCCTCTGGGAGACCTTGCTGAAGGCAGCAGATTTTGCCTTGACTTTTCCAAACAAGTATGAGTCCTTGAGTGTTTTATTAGAATTTTAATGTTTAGATTTCAAAATGTCCTTGTTTGAAAGACATTACAGATGCAGGTGTCTTCTCCAGGATGCTTACCCTGTTGATTGTATTTAGAAGTTAATTTTAGTTCAAGCTGTTGT